TTAATTGCCCTACAGCTGGACCAATGTCTAAAAATGTTGAGGATCTTATTTATGCTATGAAAAATCTTATAACTGATGAAATGTTTAAGAGAGATTATCATATCGCTAAGATGCCATTCGATGATTAAAAATTGACCGAAGTGTAGAATAGAAAGCTTAAAATTGGATATTTTGATGATATACCTACTCTTGCTTCTTGCAAATCAAATAAACGAGCTATTAATATTGCTAAACAAAAGTTAGAGTAATTAGGTCATAATTTAATTCCATTCAATCTGAAATAGTAATAATTTGATAAAATGAAATAGATCGAGATTCCCACATTCTATCTTGGTTTAGGGAAGTAACTATAGTCCTTATTTTATCAAAATTATGAGTACATATTGCCAATGTACAGACTTTCCAATTTTTTCATGTGGATAAATAGCTTCCATTAATGGATCATTAAGTTAATCACAAAACCTCTTGGCAAGAGAATAACTATGCCATTACACCATATTAAGGAATATAGTACATTCTAACTTGATTCTTTGTATTGTGAGAAGATTAAACTCATGGACGAATTGAATAACTAGATAGAAGAAATGGGCCTTGATGCAATTATTTGTCCAGGCTATCCAACAGCTGCTTATAAAAATTAAGATTGCATCCCTATGGGTTTTCAAATGGATTACTACAGTCTTTTTAACTTTCTAAAGTATCCAGTTGGTGCCATTCCTGTTACAGAGGTACTTGAAGGAGAGGATTAAGATTATTCTGATAATTTTAATGATATGAATACAAAATCTATTAAAAAATCTTTAAAAGGCAGTACTAGTTTGCCAATAGGAATTCAGGTGTCAGCACCAAAATGGAAAGATGAGTAATGTCTATAAATAATGAGAATACTAGAATAAGCTATTGGATTTAAGAAGACTCCTATAAAATATTACTCTGAATGAAATATACTAGAGCTTTTGAATATTATGGATACTTTATAAATTAATTTCAACAAATTATAGGTCAAAAGCTTATTCTGGGGTTTTGGGGTTTTGGGG